ATTGTTATCATGTTTGCCACCAAGCATTAGCTCAAAGCGAACTTTAATAAATCTATCTATCTATCTATTTTGTACGAAAGCCTGTTCCAAAACACTGAGTTCATTTTATTTAGATTCTCTACAATTAAAGCGTTGAGAATGAGTAAGACCGAAGGCACAAGAACGACACATTGCAGGAGAGCAAAAACAAAGTTTACAGAAGATGTTAACGGCATGAGAAAAATATGGAGTCAAATCCACGACATTTATGCCCAATCATCAAACTACATGGAGAGGAGATGCTGTAAGCGGTTTGTGATTGAATAAACGAAAACAGGTACTTATACAATCTTGCTTAGAACTGTATACATTTCAACGCTTGTACTGTATACATTTTAGTACATTTTATCAATAGGCATCGGTGCTTTATTGGTGTCATTGGAAGCAGCCGCCTCTCCCTGCCAACGCTCCGTCGCAAACGTGCTATCGTAGTACTCACCTGGCTGCGCTGCACGCTGTACGCGTCGTCGGGGTCGCGGTAATTGGGCGGCGCGCGCAGGGCATCCTGGAAAGCGCGCTCACAAGCGGCCAGCACCTCGGGAGGCGGCAGCTCGTCGCCCGGGCGCGGCGCCCGACCCCCGGCGGCGCCGGCGGAGGGGCAGTCCGGAGACGGCGCCAGCAGGGCCTCGAGGCAGCGCAGGGCGCGCGCTCTCAGGTCGCGGCGCGCGTCGGCGCCCGGCGGCGGCGTCAGGCATCGCAGCGCAGGAGCCTGCGCCGCTCCCGGTCCCGCAGCCGCCGCAGCCTCCGGCCGCGACCGCGACCGCTCGGGAGTCAAGAGCGGAGCCAGCAGCCCTGTCAACTCCAGCGGACGCTGCACAACACAACCACCACACACACTGAGTTAGCTCAGAGAAACGACTGTTGCCACCGAAGCGACTCTGCCCGGAGAGTCTAGGGTTCGAACCCCGACGACGGCGGATTTTCGACACCAGATAGGTCGAATTCATCCGCTGTCTGTGAAAGAATTTTAGCAACCGGCTGCTCTGATCGGAAGTTTTCGTGGTTTCTCCTATCAATATCAGGTGAATCCCGGTATCAGAACAGGTGGGAGACGGGCCAAGGACCGCGAGGAATTTTCCTTCCTCATAGTTGTCATCACCTCTCCCCTAAGACACAAACACACTTAAATGCACTGCACTACCACACATATCGGGAGACCGATCGGAACCACTGCTATCCCATTTTAGGAAAAGATATTTGAAGTGGGAGAGCCCGCAAGGCGATGTATAGATCGGCGCCTGGTCTCGCGTTCCAGTGAGGGGAGGTATGCACGGGTGTAATGACCACAGCAGTTGGCGCGCCAGGAAACGCCAAGCAATTAACCAACCACCACTACGTGTCTTGGAAAAGGTGCACCGTCTTCTTTGGTCTAACAGGGGCCTGCGAGCGATTGCCAAGCAGATTCAAGCTAGGGAAAAGCGCTTTGAAGTTTCAAAAAAAATGCCATCTACGTGGTTGTTCAGGACATCCTCCGAAAGGTACAATTTTGGAGATCTCCCGGTCGGCCATCAATATCAATGACGATCGACGTGAAACATTTTCCGATCGTTAATCAGAAACTAAACGTAGAATATGGAACGTCTAAGAAAGGAAGATGTTTACCCAAATTTTAGCTGCTCTGAGCGGAAATTTTCGAGTTTTTTATCAATAACAGACGAATTTCGGAGCTGAACCCTAGGAAACGGCGCAGCGGCACAGAAGTAGAATATATATTTTACAAGGCAATGCAAACCACGATATAATAGCAACGAAAACGTAAATAGTACTATTTGTTTTTCTTTCTGCTGTTGTAATTGTACTCCCTACTTCCAAAATCTAATTTTACAATGCAATCGCGATTATTTTTGTTTTTCTCACATTATTGAAGAGAGCTACACACTAAGAAGAGTTCCACCATTTAAAAAAATATTGTTAGGAAAAATACTCTGCCGTACATTTATATTTTAGAAACTAATTTCCGTAGGGTAAGAAAAACATCAAACAACATACAACAACAAACCCATATCCTGAAGAAAATTAGGAGAACGCTAGGTTTGTTTACAGGCTGCGAATTAGCATTATTTACATGACGAATGGACGAGTGAAACAAAGTCCTCACTTACCCATAAGTCTTAATAAAATTTTAAAATGTTCTTTAGAGTTTCTTTTCCAATTTTCTTGAACTGAATACTTCAAAGTGCCAAGTTAACAGAAGCAAACAGTTTTGTGTAAATTCGAAATGCATCGCCAATATGTATGAGTATACAGGCCCATTACATAGCTTTCGCGAAATATTTGGAATTGAAGCCTTGGAGTGCTGTAAGGTTAAGCGACGGATGGATGTGAAGATGAGGTCTAAATCTTCCTCATAAGGGACACGAACATTATGAGAGAAATGTAATTTTTTAAAAAATTGACGTCGCACCTCCAGGCGAGCAGCATTGGCACGTAGCAGGGCCTCGAGCGCCGCTAGCACGTCGGGCGTGGCAAGCAGTGCGGTAGAACGCAGTGCGTCTGTCGTCCAGCGCAGCGCACGCGCCAGCGTCGCGCCCTCGGGCCGAACTCCGCGCCTCGCAGCCTGCGCCACCAGACGCGTCGTCAGCTGGCTCGCCTTCGCCGCCAGAAAGGTGTCGTCCGGCGGAACCAGAGAGCAGCACTGGTGCAGCAGCAGCAGCGCCTTCTGTGGACATGGCATGCTATGGTAGTGCCCCGATTAGAAAGTACGAAAATTAAGCAGATGTAAACAACTAATGTTGTATGTATTTGTTTGTAAGAAAACTAGGTCAACTAATAGCTAGAAAGATACATAAGGAAACGTTCCTTTATGAACTGCAAAAAATGTGCATGGGGCGTAATGTTTACTCAGTACAAACGAATAAAAACAATTACAGACCGGACAAGTCAATTCTGTATGACGCATTGGGAGGAGACACTTTTGAGCCCTCTCCAAATTGAAACATACTAAGAGAACATACAACACATTTAATGAGCACTCTGAAAACTAATATATTACTGCACGAAAGAAAGTATCTACACTGATAACGCAAGGATTTTCATTTTACTTTCTTGACAAAAAAGAAAGATCGAGGTTAGGTTGCTTCTTTGCGTGCCACAAAGTGTTTACGTAAGTGTGCATGGCTAACCGGTCCTGTCAAACATACCTAATTGAGGCTACGTCATCCTAGCCCGGGGTAATTGCAAAGCGTCTGCAGCTGTGTTAAAAAAGGAATACAAAAACGCGTACGGTACCTCTGGGTTCGTGACGATGGGCAGTTTATAATTCAATGCATTTAATTCATCGAATAAGGCATTTATATATTCTTTGTCACCCTCTCGACGCCCATGCAGCAACTTCGTCAGTTCGTCAGAGAGGGAATTGAATTTCCTCGACGCCTCTTCCGCATACGAGCACCCCGCAGCCTCCATTTCAACACTAATTTTACGAACCACTTTAACTCTCCGTAGACGCTATATCGTGCGCCGCTCAGCTGTTCTGCGTCGACAAAAGCGCCTCGAGTGGCGTTTTGCTGTATTCCATCATTCCCGGCGAGAGCAGGACCAATAGGCGTTCGTCTTTCGCGAGCGCCGACGGCGCTCCAAGCGAGAGGGGAAGCAGTGTAAAGTGGAGAGTCTTCTACAGGAGTGGGAGGTTGTGTTTGAAGTTAAAATGTCCGTGCTGGTGATCCGTCTAATAAATGGATGAAGAGATTAATACTACCTGAATATCGTGCTATAAAACGCGAACTCGGTGCTAGAGTGAAGTGGGAGATCGCGTTGTGTTTATCCATGATAGGCTAAAAATATGCTTTAGGCGTCGTCTGCGTGTCTGTGTAATAGGAGGTGAAAAGAAAAGTACGCAAAATGGCGGATCTAGAGGCAGTGCTCGCAGACGTGAGCTATTTGATGGCGATGGAGAAAAGCAAATGCACTCCAGCCGCCAGAGCCAGCAAAAAAATCATCCTTCCGGATCCGAGGTAGGCGCGCCGGTGGCTCGCGCCCCGCGGCGAGCCCGCTGCGGGCGCGCGCCGCGCCCCGTCCGCCGCTGTCATATGCTGCCCTAAGGGGCTGGCGCCCACCCGCCCTCAGGTGCACCGAACGAGACCCTGGGTCGCCCGCGACGCCCGTACTGCCCGCCGACGCCCAAAGGGGCGCGTATTGACCCGGGGCGGACCACGGCGGGGTGCGGACGAGCGGGCGATCCACCCCGTGCCGCGTTGTGCCGCTCCGCGCGGAGGGCGAGCGAGAGGGAGGGTGGGCGGGCGCCCACCCAGACGCCCCGCGCAGCGCCGCCCCGCCCCGGGCGCACGCTCGTAGGCCGGGTCGGGGGCGCGCGCTGCGGGGGCGGGCACCGCACGTGGGGCCGCGCGAAGACGTTCGCACTCGGTGGTGACAGCGGCACGGGACCGTCTAGCGGCGCAGCCAGCTGTCACCCACGCTCTTATGTTGCAGCGTTCGCAGTGTCATGCACAAATATTTGGAGAAGAAGAACGAAGTCAACTTCGACAAGATCTTCCACCAGCATCTCGGTGAGTGTCACGGCGTTCGGAGCCCTTGTGAAGGCTGTCAACGCCTTTTCCCAAGGCATCGTCTGATGCGCTTCTCGTTCGCAGGGTACCTGCTGTTCAAGGATTTCTGTGAGACTGTGTCGGAGGAACCCGTTCCGCAACTCAAATTCTACGAAGAGGTGAGCATTTCCCCTGTTCCCATTCTCGTCCAAATTGAGTCCCCGCGCCCGATCCAGCTCCCGCCTGGCCTGTATACCCTTCCCATCCCCTCCCGGCGGTCGATATCCTCCCGGTCGGCGACCCGGGCGCTGCCGGGCGCGCGCCCTTCGCCCTTCGCCGCCGACCCCGCTCCCCCTCCCCCCCCCGCCCACGCCACCGTCACGAGCGCGCGCGCTCTGGCTGCGCAGATACGGCAGTATGAGAAGCTGGAATGCGTGGAGGAGCGGCGGAAGCTGGCGCGCGAAATCTACGACAATTTCATCATGAAGGAGTTGTTGGCCCATTCGCACGTATGTTCTAAGCGCCGCCTCGCGCTTCTGCTCTGCGTTGTACACAGCAGCGAGTGACATTTATTGTGCCGCCACGCATGACAGTTCATGGTTTGGGTCTAACGTGAAGTGACCTCACCTCACCTGACGTTATGGGATACCTTTTGCTCAATGACTTTCATATTCAGAATGAACCTGCCAACAACTTGATTATTTAAGTCAATAAGGACTGGTCAATATTTCACAAAAGTCACAATTGACAAGTGCTTACTATTTTATAAATACTACAGATGGTGCATTCCTTCATTCACCAAATTAGGATCACAAAATTAATCAAATAGCATGTCTTCTTGTACCCAATATTTTGGTATTTGGTATAAAAGTTGTAGAAATACACATTTTCCCAATTAGGTTTTCTGTTATTATGATTACCACTTTATATGATTATTCAAATGAATTTTTTATAATGACAATATTTCTATCTGAAGCCATTTGCTGGTGATACCTTTGCTTTGTTAACATTTATTTACAAAATTTCATTGGAATTCATTTACAAAGTTTCATTGGAAATGGGAATTTCATTAACTTAAAATATTACCTAAATTAACTTTTCTTTACTTCTAATTTTTAGATAACAGAATTATGGTATTTTTTTCAGTTCAGGATATAATTTGTTATTATTTAATTGTGCATGTTTATTAATTTTTGCATCTCAACACTGTACATATTTGAGAATTTAGTGGGAACAGAACTTATTTTGGTAGTTCTGCATTCAGCTTTCATTCATGATCACATTCTCCAGGAGTGCTGAAACAGCAAATCATGGGGGCTATTTTTGCTCTTGTACAGTTTGGTCTCTGCCTTCTTACTGGGTGACTTCCAAGCTAAGCTTCTCCTGCTTTCTGCTTGTCATCGTAAACAAACGGGGTGTTTGTTTACTTCCTGTGTTGGTGTAATGTCAACCTTTTAAATGGGCCATTGATGGTTGACAGAAGACAGTTTATCTTCCTGACTGTGAACAACCTTGTGAAAACAACATTGCAATCAGAATTCAAAAATATTTGCAATTGTAATGGTGATTCTCCTTTTAGTTAGCTATTAACGGAACATATATTCATAAAATAAAACTAATTCATTATAATAGTCACATTTTTCATACAAAATACCTTAAGGAAAATTTCTTACATCTAATAAAAATTATAAATTAGGTAAATTATAAACATATGGTAATTAAGATGTTGATAAAATTGAATGAAGGTGTGCATGTAGATCCAATAAGGAGCGTTTTTCATTCACACATAATTTACAAAACAGATTAAAACTGAAGATCTTATTTTTTTATTTTATTATTATTATTTTATTATTATTATTATTTTATTATTATCATTATTATTGTTGTTATTGTTTAGTGTAATTTTTGAATTTTTGTTGTCTTTTCTTGTATTTAATTTCACTGTATATTCGTAAGTTTTCACTTGTAATATTAAATTTTTTCGCTATTGAAGGACTATTCAAAAGAAGCTGTTGCACATGTGCAGAAATTTCTCATGAAAAATGAGGTCCCTGTCAATTTGTTCGAGGTGAGTTCAATTGGTAATATTATATTAAGCTTTTAGAATTTTTTTAATCTTTTTGAATAAAAATGTAAATACAATTGACTTGTTTCAGCCATATATAGAAGAAATTTTCAATCACCTACGTGGAGAACCATTTAAGAAGTTCCTGGAAAGGTTAGTAATGATGTCAATTTAATTCATAAACAGAAAAATATAATCAGTATAAAGAAAGTAGTGCTGTGATGTTTGATGTTACATTTACAGAGATTTAATATTAACTTTTCAATGTTATTGTGATGGTTGTTGCAATTTGTTTTTTCAGATGTAGCATCTAATGATTCATTATAGAACTTGAAATATATGATCCATTACTGTTACCTGACATCATTTAAAGATGATATGAAACCTGAAATGGTGAATTTAGTTCCAAATTTGGAAAATTGTTATGTGCAGTACAATGAAACTAAGTTTTACTAGAATACAAATTAACATTGTTTTTCCTTCACCATGTCCTTGATAGAAATTAGAAAACTAACCACCATTATGTGCGACATTGTTAACTTTGTAATCTTTCTTATTTTGTTTGATGTAAATGTTTTCAATTAATGTTGTATGTCTTCTATTCCATATAAAATATAAAATACACTTCTTTATTGGTAAACAAATAAGAATAAAAATGCATCTTAGAATATTAATTGTGTGATAAAATATGTTGTGATTCACTACATTAATATAACTTAAAACAGTCACTTTTATTTCGTTTTTGTGTTTGTTACAGTTAACTGAAAATATAATGAATTAAAATAACATTTAAACATATAATTAATAACTGTTGTGACCTATACACTTGAAAATGTTTTTTCATTATATAATGAAATGAAAGGTTTAGTAGAAGCAATAGAACAGTCTCAAAGAAGATGGAAAGATCATATACAGAGAATGAACTACAACAGGTTGCCAAAATTAATCTGGAAGTACAAATCAAGAGGTATCAGAGAAACAAGGCAGACCACTAAAGGTGGCAACAGCAAGATCTTTAAGAATACTGTAATAAAGTAATAGAACCAGGCTGTAAAGCCTAATTTCTGACCAGTTCAGGACGATTGGATGATAAATTGTTTGACGAATATTTTACAATACAGATTTCTTGACATTAACAAAGCAAGAATATTAAAATCTGTATCTGTGACTGTTTTATTTTCATTACTAAGAATTGAGAGACAAGTCTTCCCTGAGGCAAATTTTGAAGATACTTTTTTGAATTGAATTGAATTTGCCTTATTTTACGTGGTGACACTCGGGCCATCAGGCCCGCTCTTCCGTCTGACCACGCAAATTTCGCTTCGCTAATTTAGCTCAGAGGCATCATTTAGGCTTGACGATCTTTTACATGCAAGTAAATCTACTAACATGGGACAGCCGGCTGTACTTCAACCTAAAAATCCAAGGCTTTGATCGGGTTTGAACTCACGAGCTTGGGTATAACAGTGCGGTATGCTAACCGTCACACCATCACCACCATTGACTTTTTTAGGGTTGCATTTATAAGTATTGGAAAAAAAAGTTATTGTGGTTTTTACAAGCATTGTAATCAATAAAACATGCACCATTCAAACATCGGGAGATCTAGAAGATACGTTCCTTTGAAGATTTGGTCGATAGTACTATTTGCAGATAAGATCTGAAAGAGTGAATGCTTTACCACAATCTTTAAAATTAGCTTGGAAGTTACAAACAATGAAGTGTCTCATTTTAATTATCAATTACTATGCAAAGAAAGTTACTGCTGCCTGTAATAAAGTAAAATAAACAAAATCAGAGAAAATTTCTGTTATTCATTTATAGTGATAACAAACAATTGCTCAATTAAAAATAGCACAACCCATGTATATTTGTGGTAATGCACATTTTTGAAGAGGAGTCTTCAATCTATGTATTTTCACAATTCTAAATTGAAAATCATTGAGTCCTTATTTAAATTTATTCATATTTATGACTAGTAAAGGGATGCTGGTCAGGTAAATAAAACTTTGCTAGTTTGCCAATGGTTGTGGAATGTATTATTCCATCAGGACTTACTACACAACTACAGACATTTTCTCATATTGCCAAATATTATATACCCGCCACCTTCTGGCTTGTCTGTCTTCACCTCTTGACACGTTGAATGTGTTTGCAGTATATGCAAATTGCAATAACTGCTCCTGAAACATTGGCAAACTAATATTGTTTACTAGTTATTACTAGTTTTGTTTTCTGCACCAACAACAAAGGATAACAAGCAAATAATTAACAAGTGTTCTTCAACTTAGATGTGTTTAAATTTAGCAAGAAATTGTATGTAATTGCTAATGAACTTTTTAATTTATTTTGTGTGTTTCAGTGACAAATACACACGGTTTTGTCAGTGGAAAAATCTTGAACTTAATATTCAGGTAAGAGGATTTTTAATTCTATTATAAAAATGAAATTACAATTTTCATTTAAAGGTGACATTTTGGTGTTATTGAGGCAATGGATGTCATACTCCTTCAATTGATTTTTCTTTCACAGACTTGAACACAATTACTAAATTTGTGAATTTTAGTTTGAGACCTGGAAGAGATTGGGTGTTCTGTTTTTAAAATGCCTCTTGCCCAAAATTAAACAGGATGGCTTAGAAAAAATGTCTTCCTCTTTACATGTTAATGATGTTTCGTATTAAGTCAAACCTGAGATGTAATTGCATTTTCTCTGATATGTTCATCTTGCTACCTCTAAATACTGATTTTGCTTCCTTTGTCATCTCTCTTAGTTTGACCACTTACAGCGCAATATGTTTTTCTATCTAATGAGGTTTTATCAGTTCTGTTAGTTTTTGTCTTTACCTGCATATTTCAAAGAATAAAAACATAATTCCTTCATTTGGAGGCTCATTTGTGCCTCATTGAATTTCATATGGAATTTCCTTTAATTATTGTTTTGATATACACATTTGTGACACACTTTCAAAAGAAAATATTGTTGATGTTACTTTTATTAATATTACAAAAATAAAATAATAAATGCATATTACAATAATAACTTTTTTGTTTTTAAGTTTAAATGCTTATAAATTGATGTAAATTTTGGTTCCTCTTCAGTGTGTATTCCTTTACCATAATGCGTTTTGCACTTTTTAAATGCTATTTTTATTAATTTGATTTTGAAATTATTACTACAGTTCTGTACATCTGTAGTTCATTATGACATTTAGACATACAATTATTATTGAATACATTTTTTGCTTTACAGTTAACAATGAATGACTTTAGTGTTCATCGTATTATTGGAAGAGGAGGTTTTGGGGAAGTTTATGGTTGTCGGAAGGCAGACACGGGCAAGATGTATGCTATGAAGTGTCTGGATAAAAAACGTATCAAGATGAAGCAAGGTGAAACTTTAGCTTTGAATGAACGTATTATGTTATCTCTGGTCAGCACAGGAGTAAGTATTGCAGAGAATTCTAGTATTTTATTTTATTTCAAATAAGTGTACAATATCTCTAAGAAATGAACTCGAATTCATAATTCATTATTAATGAAATATGTTCCTAGTTAATTAATGTTAGTAATATAGGAGAAAAGTGTTAATGTCACATTTATTAATTATTTTTTGTAAAATTTTTTTATGGAACATCACCTTTATAATTATTATGGTAGAAGTATGTATCATTTAAAATGATTTCCGATGGGGTTAAAAATGTTAGTTCCTGTACTATACTTTTTAATCTCATATCCAGAAGATGTAGCTCCAATAACAATTAACAATCACAACAATTATGTAGAAAATAAAATAATTACATTAATGTTAAAAAAATTGTAAGATATTCCTTGAAAAATTAATATGAAACGTAAAGGTTTTTCTTCTGCTTCATCCACCTTTCTCATTTTCGCCTATTTGAATGATTTAATTCCATTTGTTTGATTTTCCATCATATCACAATATTTCTAATGTAATTAATATAATACAAATGTAATATAACATAATATAATAAATTATTACATTTGAAGATTAAAAGTGTTTTAATATGCAATTACAATGTTTTTTTCGAAATGATTAATTGTTATTATTGTGCAGGTGGATTGTCCCTTCATTGTGTGCATGACATACGCCTTTCACACGCCTGACAAACTCTGTTTCATACTTGATTTAATGAATGGAGGTGACCTACACTATCATCTCTCGCAACATGGAGTTTTCAATGAGCACGAGATGAAATTTTATGCTGCAGAAGTTATTCTAGGTATGAAATTGTTTTCATTATTTTGTTTGTCTCAAAACCTTTTTAATGTCATCATCAACAGCCAATTATTGTAATTTTATTAGAATTATCTTTAATTTTGAAAATATATTTTAATTTTGTTATACATCATATGTAAAGACATTTTCATATGCTCGGGAAAAGGAAACTAAGAAATAAATAACATTATTAGTATTATTATCAGATGTTTGTTAATGATGGATCAGTGAATCCTCATTAATAAAGTTATGAAGTGCTTGTTTAATAAAGATGTAAAGTAACATTCAGTGGGATGGTTGCGTGAAAAATAATACATTGCAATTGTCCATATTGCTTTTTGTTAGGTCTGGAGCATATGCATCGACGTTATATTGTGTATCGAGACCTGAAACCTGCCAATATTCTTCTGGATGAACATGGTCATGTGCGCATATCAGACCTTGGATTAGCATGTGACTTCTCGAAAAAAAAGCCTCATGCTAGTGTGTAAGTATCGTAATTACTGACTATGAGAGGTGAGAAAATCTTTTTGTTTTCTTTTTAATTGGATTATTTATGAAATAAGTATAAAAAATTAAAAGTGGCTTTTTTCCGTACAGGTCAGTCGATTTAAGTACTGGGGTTTATATGCCTTATTTTGTTATTAGCAATTAAAATTTTGAAAATGGTATTCTTACATTTTGGTTTCATTGTAGAGACATGATTCAAATATCGAGTTCGTCTTCTAGAATGGATGTATCTTGTGCTATGGTCATCTCTTTTATTTGAGATTATTTTTTAAAATTGTTTATAAATATATAATATATAGCATAAGGTGATTCTATGCTGTGTAGTTTATAGACTTTGGAATCCCTGCTGGGCAGTATTTAAAGTTTTATTTCAACACCCCCTACTTATCAGTATTTACGCATCCTTTTTATTATTCACAAAATTTGATTGAGTCTGAAATAATGAGTTTCAGACTCAATCAAGAGTTTGAATGAGTTTTCTATTGGGAACTGCAAATTTAACTTTCTCATTTTGCAAACTGTTTTGTATTACAAGAATCAAGTAACATGCTGCAGCAGGTATGCACTCTTAAGACTTGACATGCGTTGGTATGTTTTGAAGTGTTCTCCTTAGTGACCCGCACTTTACCATGTTTGATGTGTTTAAGATTGCATCCTGATTCATCCTATTTATATTCCACAGGAATATTTAGTCAATAGATCATGACAAGTATTGCATGTGTATTTCTTTTAAAAACATAATTCCCTTTTCCTTTTTTAATTTAGTTATGGAAAATAAGAAGTACAATTTATAACAAATGTCTTTAATTCTTCTTCATTATTTGACTTGGCAAAATTTAATGTTAATAAAGTAAAGTAAGTACATTTGTGTGCACTATAGTTAGTCATATTACAAATAGTCAGCTCATCATATTACATGTTTGCCTGTGTTCTTGTTAAAATAAGTTATGTATTAGGTTTGTGATGTAAAATTTAGATTTTCTGAATTTTTCTGTTATTGCATTGCTATTTCAAAGATGCAGTGTTCCTCCAATACCTGCAGTAGAGATCTTTCAAACCGAAATTAATTTCACCTGGAATAACTTCTTTACTGTGGATTAGCCTTACCTGTTTAATAGCAATCCTTCTTTGAAATAAATGTATTGGAAATTAAAATTTTATGGAATTCATGTGAATTTCATTGAATCTTGGAAGCTGCCTTTCTTACTTCAGTATCTGAAGTTGTCAAAATTAGATCAAGAATGAATTTTGTACAAGTAAGCTTCTGTGGCTCAAGTTCATGACTTATTGCATGTCTGGGTGACACTGCGTCATTGGGTGAGAGGCCTCGCTGCCAATGACACATCATCACCCGGACAGCCAAGAAGTAAAGTATGCAGCTTTGTTAACAATGTTATTGACAAATATCGTGTTGTCTTCACTTATAAGGATCATTCATAAGACATCATAATTATCATGAACTGACCAGAAATTGCACTTTACATCCTATTTCTATGGGTTTATTACAGTATTCTTAGTTATTAGTCTCACAAGTGTTCCTGTTGTTGCCAACTCTTTAGTGCTCTGCCTCTTTCTCTGAAAGCATTCATAGGTACCTATGCTAGGAAATGTTCTTTATGCACTGTTAAAAGTTGGTTACCTTATTCATTCTTTATTTGTATAATTTGTTTTCTAAATTGTTCTAAATTGCTGTTTACAAGCATCTAAAGTTTTGATTTTAGTCTTCTCTTTACCGATAACAGCTTTCATTTCATTGACCTTACCCAAATAGTGTTGTATGAATAACATGCTTATTCTATGCAAATATATTTGTAACTATATTTTCTACCTTTAGCCAATCTTCAGTTCACGGAGTGTCAAATTGGAAACATCGCTGACTGATTTTTAGATAATTGATATAATTTAATTTTGGAAATATCTCTTTGTCACTGAATATGTTCTAATTTTATTAAAATTAATTAATTTTTGTAAAAAGGTCCATTTGTTTTATTTAAAGATTAGGGTCAATTACTCATTATTGTCCAATCTTAATTTCACTTGTGTAACTAAAGTAATTTAGTTTCACTGGGATCTCCTCTTATGTCATACTTTGCAATATTCAAAGAAGCTTTACTTCATTGGTATGTTTTTCAAATTTACTTTTGTAAATCATCATCATTTGATTCAATGCAATCATTTACTCTCCTTCATTCACTTGGTCATTTGCTCAATCATTCATTTAATCATTCTTTTTATATACATTTTTTCTGGTTTACTTTGACTTTCAATTCTTGTTTTTGTTTTCAATTTGTCATCTATTCAGTGCTTGATTTGATGTCTTAATTTATATATTCTTAGTTTGTCATTTTGTGTCACTTCAAAACTTTTTTTTAAATTTTATTTCAACCTGTGTAGTATTTCTGGAATACGATTTCTCAACCTCCTGCTCTGTGATTAAACCATAAGAATTAAGTTTTGGCCCTTCTGTTTTTTTCCATTTTCAATGGACTATTTGTTTCTATCATTTTTGTGATTGCCTCATAATTTCGCACGCATAATTTTTAGGAGATTAGCATCCTTGATATTTCATGTTTCAATATGTCATGATCTTGAATTAAAGGCATTTATCTCTTTGAATTAAAGCACAATCTTGGTTGTTTGTTTTAACCACGGGGCTTCTATATTTGAATTATCCCCTAAATTGTCATGACTGCTAATGCCTGGCCCCTAGTGTGCACTGTGTGAAGTGTGCGTGTACAGGGGCACCCATGGCTACATGGCCCCTGAGGTTCTCTCTAAGGGCACGGCCTACGACTCGAGCGCTGACTGGTTCTCCTTCGGCTGCATGCTGTACAAGCTGCTGAAGGGTCACAGCCCCTTCCGGCAACATAAAACGAAGGACAAGCACGAGATCGACCGCATGACACTCACTATGGTAAGCTCCTCACACTTGTCACTATCCATTGTCCTATCATCACAGGGAGATTGCTGTGTGAATGAAATTACTTTGATTCTAATGTAGGTTAAAAATGCAATAGTTTTGTGTTATAAATTTGTGCATAAATGCATGCACATGTGCATGTGTATATACATACCTGACACACTTGTGTGTAGATGACCAGGTATTTGTCATTGACAAATTCTTTTAATTTTTTGTGTGATTCTGGAGACTAGAACCTGTAAATTTGTTGTGTTAATGTAAAATCAATTATTAAATCTTTTACTTGGAAAGTTGATGCAAACTGTGATCAGCACAACTGGGAGTTGAGAATTCAACAGTAAGCTGTAAAACTGATCATATTGCATTGAGGAAATTAAAACAAAGTATTACTTGCTTGGATTATAATTAAGCATGTCGTTACTCTGCAGTGGTTGTGGAAAGGAATACTTGTTAAATATAGTATTTAGAAAGACTATCGTGAAATTCACAGGAACTAGTTGCCTGCAGCAGCCAATTGTTGTTGATGAGTTTGTGGAAAAGTGGTTCATGAAGCAGCAAAAAATTGACTCTGATTTGACAGAAAAAAGTTGACTACTGAAGTTTTTTTTCTTCATTGTTCCATTAAGTCACGTGCACTGATTTCCATCGCATGATTTCATAAGCAGTGATGCACCGACTTTGAGAAAATTGACGCAACACACAGGATGAGATATCACCAAATAACACAATGAAATATTGCCAATATTCAGTCGAAATTGAAACTGTTTCATGGTTTTTGGTATTTTCCCATATTTAAAAAAAAAACAAAAAAACAGAGACTCCTGTCACATGGCAGAAAGTTACTTAATTTTCTTTCAATGTCTGCATGCTTTCAAAATTAGTAATGTAGATAACATTGAACCTACATATGGTATGCACTGATCAAGACAGTGTATTTAAGCAAAAATGTATCTTTTTTCTTACTGTCTCCTCTCTGCTGCCCAATCACAAGGTGTGATACATCAATCATAGGAAGTGTCATGTGCACTTGGAGTGCAAACATGATGCAATTAATGTTTGGCACATTCTGAACCCTTTTTGGAGACAATTTCATTTATAGAATATTCTTGTTAAGTACCACTTGTGCATTGGAAAGTTTCCAGATAAATTGAAAATTTTCATTGCAATCAAAATTTTGTTTTCCATCTGAATTTGTAATGTACTCATGGTATTTCCTAGGACAATACTTTCATGAGTCAAGTTTGAAGTAATAATGAAATCATACAAACTGAAGTTGCCTTTTTTTATTCCAATTTAAATCTGACGATAGTACATGCAGACTACTTCAAAAGTGAGCATTCCATTGCTGTCAAAGGAGGACTGTTTTAGAAGAGCACCATTTCTGAAAAATAAAATTATCATTGCATTGCGCTAAAAATGTACAAGCAATTTTGGTTTAAATCATTATTTTATACAATTTGCAATAATGAGTGCATTTGGCAACTAACAGAATTTTGTATGGTTTTGCAGGTGAGGATATTGTTAGATTTTTCACCAGTTTTGAAGGGGAGTTAGTTGCTTTTTTCCAATCTGTTTATTTTATTGTATGTGAATTATTTTCACGTCAAAAGCAATTTCATTAGACAAACTTAAAAACTTCTGCAATTCCTAAAAAAAATTTACAGTAATTTCTAAAAAATATTAGTGAAGATTATATCACATAATGGAACCCATTGAGCTCTACATTTATTCTACTTTGCAACAAATCTTCAATAAACAATTAACAATTTTTAAAAAATGTTAATTTTTCATCAGTATTTTAGTAAATATGTTTTAGTACTTTCGAAATATTTAAGCTTGTATCATCAGAATTTAATACTAGAGAAAGCACATTATTTAACTTAGGAAAGAACTGTTGTGCATAGTCTCTGTCCATGGAAATACGTTTCAATTCAAAGACAGAACAATAAAATGTTGAAAATATCAGGGATCCTGATCATCAGGTGCAAAAGTATATTCAGAAGAGCCATTATTAAAAAAGAGCTAATTGCATTCTTGGGTCATGATTTGAGCAGTAAGAAATGCAAAATTTCACATTTCATTCGAAAGAGCAAAATTCTGAGATGCCAGAGGCAAGTGGGTAGAGAACAATCTGTCTTGGCAATATTAGTAGTGGATGGGCACCACATACCATCAATATTCGGTGTATTAAATGCAGAAAGTGAGCCCAAGTCATGGTCATCATCTGGGACAATGGCCAAGGCAATGCAATGGCCTGCAAGGCAAGGCAATGCAATGGCCTGCAAGGCAAGGCAATGCAATGGCCTGCAAGGCAATGCAATGGCCTGCAAGGCAAGGCAATGCAATGGCCTGCAAGGCATGGCAATGCAATGGCCTGCAAGGCATGGCAATGCAATGGCCTGCAAGGCAAGGCAATGCAATGCAATGGCCTGCAAGGCAAGGCAATGCAATGCAATGGCCTGCAAGGCAAGGCAAGGGAATGGCGTGCAAGGCAATGCAATGGCCTGCAAGGCAATGCAATGGCCTGCAAGGCAAGGCAATGGCCTGCAAGGCAAGGCAATGCAATGCAATGCAATGCAATGGCCTGCAAGGCAAGGCAAAGGAATGGCCTGGCAAGGCAAGGCAATGGCCTGGCAAGGCAAGGCAAGGCAATGGCCTGGCAAAGCCTGGCGAGGCCACATTTATTATTATAGTAATTGGAAAATCAAAGAGAAATCATAATTGAATAAAGACAAAAAATATGGAAAGAAAATACAGATGTACTAAAGCACTCCTCTCCCCTCCCGTTAATTATGAAGGTTTGTCCTCGTTACGGGTCATGCTGATGCTAACGATACAAAAAGGAAAGGTAAGTCTTTTAAGATGTAATTGGGAAAAGAAAAAAAAAAAGAAAAAGCAGGAAAAAGAAAGCAATTGTAATTGCAAGACTAGTGACCAACCCTTAAAATCCAATTTTGAGTTTACACTAAATTTCAGTGTTAGATTGCATCTGTTCATTTTTGCTACAAATTTTCAATGAAAAATTATTTATTTTAAATCTGTTTTGTCATACGTGCGTAAAAGCTCTGCTAAAAATCTACCATTGTGAATTCTTAAGAAGCAGACAGCAACTGCACTCTCAGACTAGTAATCACTAGAGTAGTATTGTATTAGAATTGATGTGAACTAGCTCTGTGTTTATCATACATTCTACAGTACAAATGAAAATATTTCTCTATCGGGTGTTTCTTCCAATGTATTATTTGACATTTCTACAACCATTATTTTCACAATTCATCATTGATTTGTGAAATAAGGGATATAAACCGATGGAAATTATTTTCATTGTGGACATTCTTCACTAACAACAGTTCTTTTAGACAAACAATCTATCTTGCATCTGATCCATTTCGAAGTGATTTAAATTTGCCAAAAGTTCAAATCTTTTGAGGTAAAAGAAAAGAGGGAAGGCATGGGGGGGGAGGGGGGAGAAAATAAATGTAGATTCATAGTTTGTTTTCATTCATTTCATTATAAATGTAATCTCATGAAAAGAATCTCTTTCAAAACAACAATTCCCAAGAAAATTCTTTTAACTCAAAATGTCAATCTGTATTTTGAGTGTTAACTGTTTAATGAGATCTGTGAGATCCATATCAAAACCTCCTTTTTTATTCATTTGAAAATGAGTGGAAATGAATAATGAATGGAAATAAGACTTATGTATTCCTTTAAAATCATGAGGTTGGCAATCTTTCTAGGAATGTATCATATTAATAAAAATTTAACTTTCATAGAACATATTGAAGAAATAATTAATTAAATAAGCTCCGAAATTTTCTTGCTGGTTTTTTTCAATATACTCTTGTCAACAAATACATTTAGACCTATTAAGGGATAAAACTGTCACACACTAAATATTGAATTAAAATGTGAGAGTGAAACAGCCATTCTACGTATGTTCAATTACATTTCTCCAAAACAAGAGCTCTTGTATGTATCTTCCGACTGAAACCTATTTAGACATAAAAAATTACTTCATCACAAAGAAAGTAATGTATGTGAAAGCCTTATGTCTATAAAATCATTATTCTCTTTAGAATAAAATCTAACTTGTACCTTATTTGTAGTAGTGAATCGTATAATTTACAAAGGTCAGTGAAATATCTCTGATGTATATTCTTCTAGAATCTTCATAATAAAAGCCAGTCATTCACTCATTCAAATAGTATTTAATAAACCAAAAAATATTACAAATGCAAGGAAAAAAGAAAAATACAATGTATTATTTGGAAAAAAAACTCAAAAGAATGCCTCTGGAATGTGAAAGGACATTTAGAATGGAAAAAATGTTAATTGTTTGTATTTATTTTTTTATTTTAGCATGTGGATGAAGAGACATTTTATTGTATATATAATTGGTATGTTATCCTTGTTCTGTCAGACACCACCAAAGTACTTATATTAGTTCATTTCATCAGCTGTAAAGGTTAGATGAAGTAAAAAGGTCAACTTGGCCATACAAATTTGTTCCAGTTCTTCACTGCAGCAGGTGTCAAAATGTCATGTATTTTCAACACAAAGTGTTAAGCTAATTTTGACTAATTGGTGGTCACTGAATTTCAAAATGACACCGATATTTCTAGCTAGGCTCTAGTTTTAATATTAATGTCATGCCGTGGAGTCAGATTACGAAGTTTTACTCTAAATGTTGGGTTTACACAGTTGGCAGCAGTCTTGTTTTAATTCATTCTTAATGTGTGGGTAAGGGCTACTAATGCAAGTGCTTTTGCATGGCCTATGCTGTGGAAAGACCTCAGCGATCAGAGTACTGATATATCCTAATGTATCCGTTGCGATTTGTCTCTCATATCCAGGGCTGTTTTAATAGCATTGGGGGCCCTTGGGCCTAGGTTAATTTAGGGGCCCTCTATTCGTACTTTCACCGATCCTCCCCTCCCCCCAATTTTGATGCTGAAATATAAAGAAAATCCTATCAATCACATGACACAGTAGTATGTGATGTGTAATACACTGATACAATAGCAAAATATTGCCAGTTCCACTAGTTATAAATATTATCCAATGATGTGAAACACATCATTTCATTTTTTTTTTTAAAGAACTATCAGAGGCTCTATGCCCAGGCCCTTTGGGTCTATGCGTTAACACGGCACTGCTCGTCGTATCAAAAGACTTCCTGTTTCTGAACTGATATAAATAAAATGAAGAAATATTTTATGCATACTCCAAAACTTCAAAAGAGCAATGTTTCAAAAAAAAAAAAAAAAACCACACACACACACACACGCCACCCTGACTTTTCTCAAATCATAAGAAGACCAAAGGTGAACTGAATGACAATGATGAACAATGAGCTAAAAAGAAGACAGGACATCAAGACTGCAACGATTTAATTATATACATTTTTTAGCAAAGGTGACATCATTTTGCACTAGAAATTAAGATAATACAGTGTTTCTGTTCTTTGCTGTCTCAAGTGAGGTAGTTGCACAGGAACACCCACTTTGTTTGGAAAATTTGGCCTAAAGTCTGTTGTTATTATTAATATTATTATTATCATCATTATTATTATTATATGGTATTCATATGAGGTGCTTATATCTTTGATAAGGGCTAGCATATTTTTTCTCTCACCAATACATTTCAAACTAGTCTAGTGGTCAAAACATTTTATAAAATCTTGATGTTAAGTATTCTGCATTCACTTATCTGCATCAAAATTTCCCAAGTTCGGTTTTTAAAAAGTTAAAGAACATATTCAGTAGTCATCAATTCACAAAATTTCAAATATTACCAATTTGAAGCAGTGCTAAGGGACAAGATGAAAACAGCATGGGAATCCTCAAAAAACTTTGTATTCAATTATTTTCTGGGGAATTTTGAACCTGGGAATTTCAAAGAACACAATGCCTGTATTAACAGCTAGGGTGCTCTACCTTACTAAAAATTCACTTTTAGCCTCCACAACTGTATTTCTTGTGAAAAAACTGTGGTGACATGAATTACAAATATTGTGAACCCTTCCACCAGGACATTGTGATGATGGAGTGCTGTCTCATTCACTGGTTACTGCTGGATGTCAAAAGGGAATACTTCTGGGCAAAGTAATAGGGCTTTCATACAGTGGTAACACATGTTGTATTACATTTTTTAAATTTATTATATGTATATTGTAAACTACTTCTAATAAGTTTTGTAGTCTTGAAAACTAGAGCTAATCAATGCATTTAAGCATTGTCATGTTCAGGAAACGTTAAAAAGTTGAATTGTATACCCCATAAAATTCACATTTCAAAAACAGTTCAATTGATGAAAATGTGTATGCAGATGTGTGTATATTAAAAAAACTTCTATCTGTGTATTCATTTTATTACAATGTAAAGAACTAATAACTTCACTACACAACAACGACAAAATGTGAAAATAAACTTAATTATAAATTTTTAAAAATCTTAGTACAAAAAAGTTCATAACTTCAATAATGTTCAAAATTAACCATTTCTTATGCTTTCAACAAATAACTATAATCAACAATACGATAACATTATTTTGGTTGTAAAATGCTGAGACTTGAGAGCTTGAAACTCCGTTTCAGCAAAGAATCTATAGTACTGAAAGAAATATTGTGTAAAGGCAACTTACAATTTAGATAATCCAATGCCTTTCTGAAATTATTAGGTAATCAACTTGTATTTCATTGCCTAGTGGATTATTTATGTACCCTTGTGTACCCTTAGGTCTTTTCCATTTACAATCATAGAAGCAAATTGTCTAACTGAAAGTAATGGATAAAACAAATGTTTAAACTTCTCTGTTGTAATTGACTCAAATCATTTGGAAAATAGACTCAATAAAGGTCTCTGATATTTTTTGATTATCATATTTTTCGCATTGTACGAACATGTACACTTAATAATGATTTATTCTCTCAATATTTTGTATTGTCTCATTTTTTATGTCTATTGTATTAAATTTTGTTTTACTGTATAAAATGTATTGAAGTCTTTAATTTTTCTGTTTTATCATTTGTGGAAGCTTTAATGAAAATCTATGAATCATACATGTATGTGTAGGTATGGAGAAGGTTGAATGTTGTAAATAGTATGTGGAAAGTGGTGTCACTTTCAAGTGTGGCAAAGTATCAAAGAAAGTATAGAATATTAACTCATATTATTCACTTATAATTTTTTAATTTACATGTGCTGATTGAAATCACAATTTGAATATTTTTGTCTTTCTTGTTTTAAACTCATTTACTACACCAAAATGTTTCTACATTTAAAAAAAAATTCAAAAAGCCTCTTTTGAAGAGAATTTTTGATTGAGAAATATCTTTCTGGTTATCATTTCATTTACAAAATGACTGGAGGACATGGCCATGGCTCTTATATATAGGAGGTTCACTCAATTTTTTAAAACTTGTTTTCTAAAAGAAGCATCCATTTGAGATGTTATATGATGTTTCAATTGAAGCTGATGTTTCATGGGGTATTAATTACATAAAATTTTGAAATATAGTAAAATCAATTGGTAATCAGAAAGGCACCCTAAAGGGGAAAAGGATCTGGAAAAACTTCTTTGATTTTCTAAAAAATCACCAATGTGGATAGGTATGAATGCTAAACTAGGAATGTTGAGTCTTTCAGTATTTCAAACAGAACTAGTGTGAGATGAGGTGTGTTTTGCCTGAGGACATAATTGTACCGAATAAACTGATGACAGTTAAGCCGCTGCAAAATCACAAATAAAGTGTTTATTACAATACCATTTTTGTTAGATTGATAGTGTTTTTCATAGGTTGATATAATAGATTAACGTATGATAATGGCAAAGATCTCTTTAGGGAATTAGTTATCTATTTTTTTTAATTTGAAGTATTGTTATGATTATTCAGAATGTTGAACTACCTGAGGCATTCTCAAGAGAACTTCGGTCTCTGCTGGAGGGCCTCCTGCAACGGGACATTGACAAAAGATTGGGTTGTAAAGGCAATGGGTGAGTAGTTTGTGCCAGCAGTATTCTTGCTTTAGAACAACAGAATGAGAGAGAAATGTATAAAAAATCTTAATTACATTGTGTTTCTATTTAAAATCTCCTTTCCTTTAAAAATGTATATCTTCTCCAGTAACTGTATTCCATGTGTAGTAATATAAAGAAAAACAATTAGATAACAGAACCTTAGAGTTTAATGAAAAAATTGTTTCAATGTATAGTGCGGACGAGGTGAAGGAACATGCGTTCTTTGCTGGAATGGACTGGCAACAAGTGTATCTACAAAAGTACACTCCACCTTTAATTCCACCACGAGGTGAAGTGAATGCAGCTGATGCCTTCGATATTGGATCTTTTGATGAAGAAGATACTAAAGGAATCAAGGTATACATCTAGTAATGAGAAAATTTCCACTCCTGTTTTTATTGTTGAAGTATTCTTTGTATAATAGCCTTGTTTAACAGCCTTGTGTGAAGCATTTATTGTGATCAATCTCTTGTATTCACTAATAATAATTTATTATCCTACCTAAAATAATTGCTTTGTTGATTTTTAAAGTATTACTGAAAATTGTATTTTTTTCTTTTCCCCATTTAACAATGTAAATTGAATCTGCAAGAATCAAAATTTAAAATTTTTAATTTTAATATTTATTTTTGTCTTTTGTACACCCATGACATCATTATATCTTTTATTTTCATTTTTATTTGATCTATTTTTAGTGATATTTGATTGAACAACATTACTTCTGTTGTAATATTGAGGATTTTGTTTGCTTTGCAGCTGACTGAAGCTGACCAGGACCTGTACAAAAATTTTCCTCTGGTCATCTCAGAAAGATGGCAAGCAGAGGTTGCTGAAACAGTCTTTGAGACAATCAACCAGGAGGCAGACAAAGTTGAGCAGAAACGAAAAGCAAAGCAAAAACAAAAATTTGATGCTGATGAAAAAGGTGATTGTGAATACAAAAATGTTCTAGACTTTTGACTTTCTGTCAAGTTCAGTACTTCATCGAAACTTGTTGCAACACTACAGTTTTTTGACATGACATCTTGCAACTCAACTCCCTATATTCCCCCCATATTCTATTAAAGAGCTGAATTTTTAGAACTTTTTTTTAGACAAAGATCACTATCTTCAATTTTGTAGGTTTGAAATGTTAAAATTTTGCAATTCTTCTAAAGTAGAGTGTCCACCATAAATGAGACTATAATCAGAACATAACATGAATTAGAGTTCTCCATAAATTGTTTTACCAAATTCTGGCACATACAGAGAGGAAATTTAAAGAAAGATTTTTGAACAATTTTTGCATAAATAATTGTTTAAAACTTTTAAAAAAATTCCTGTTTCACGCAAAATTATGTGCAAACTGCTTATATTTTTTAAAGTCTTGGCATGACCTTATTTTGAGATCTATCTTTAAATAACAAATTTTATGAAGGAAAAAATCTCTTTTCTTCCTTACTGTATTTGTAGGAAGACACTGAAAAAAAACTTGAACTCTTGCAGTTTTTGAAAAATTGGGGAAATTAACAATAATGAGACCAGCATCATTCTGTTAGGTGTCCATTATGCTATTCGAGGACAAAGTTTAATAAAAAATTTTGATACCATTTTTGAGAATAATTTGAGGCTTCATGTAAGTTACACCCAAAAATCAAAATACCGTTTCAAAATCCGAGGACCTTGAGCTGATTTCAATTGATCAAGAAATATCAATTTTGGAGTTATTTCTGCTGAACAGAGATGGATGGGCAGACTGACATTTTGCCACCAATTAATTTTTTGAATTCAAGGACTCGCAAAACATGCATTCTGATTACTCAACAAGTTAGAGGAAGTTATTTATTACACATAGGAGCATGTTTTATCCACTTTTTCATTATTAAAGCAATAAGAGATTCTCTGCTGAAAATGTCACCTTTTTCCAGCACGTGATTACTTTTTCTTTTTATGAAGTAAGAATAAGAAAGTAAAAGTAAATGCAGGGTTGAATTTAATGCCATGGAAAAATTAATACTTTATTTATATCTAAATTAATTCAAACAAATCAAGCAGTTTATCCACGCATCCTCTCAGTACCCATAGATGTAATTGACCACATTATTGTTGGCTGTGTCGCTTATCAACCTAATTTTTCATGAAGTTTAATTTTCTTGAAACGAATGTAATATGTATGTTTGCTTGTAGAATCCGATTGCATTTTACATGGCTACATAAAAAAGTTGGGTGGGCCGTTTGCTTCAGCCTGGCAAACACGATATGCTAAATTATATCCAAATCGATTAGAATTACACCCTGAATCAGGCAGCACCAAACCAGAACTAGTTTTTATGGATCAGATTGAAGATGTTAGTGCTGATTTGGTTCATGTAAAGAATGAGCAGTGCATTGTGGTGCGCACACGGGACAGCAAGATTGTCCTCACCAACCCGGTAAGTAGAAAGAATAAATAAATTGGGGGGGGGGGGATAAAATAACTAAGGAACGAATAAATAAATGGAGGGGGGATAAAATAATTAAGGAATGAATAAATGGGGGGGGGTAAAAGAACATTGAAAAAGAATGTCATTTCTTCACGTTTTTTGTTGTTGTAAAAGTGGAGCAATTAGCATTTTTTTCTTGCTTTTCTTCGCTTTTAATATGAAAATTAAGGATTCTATTATAATATCATATATTATTCCTTATAATATTATAAGGTTTTGTTGTAACCTTTAATCAGGTAGCTCACAGATTTCATCACTGATTTTGGGTTTTCAGAAAGAGAACAAAGCTGAAATATATAACCCTTTTTTACTTTCTGTTGGACTATTCTTTCTGAAATGAACGACATTTTGAAGGTTACAATTTTGTAACTTTCAATTTTATTTTAAAAAAGTAAATTATTATTAATGATGAAAAGGTAATGAGTATGAAATATATTATGTAATATTACATGTTTTGTGAAACTATGTTTTATGCGCAGTAAACATTTACTTACAATTGATTTCCTCTTAAAATATAGATTTGCTAATAAAGTGTGAGTACATTTCAGTTTAGTAGGTTTTCTGGACTCAAGGATTTTTTTAAGGCGAGTGAATATACTTATGTCAGATAAGAGTTTGTTTATTTGAACTTTGTCCATATTTTGTTATAATTCAAGTAAATGTGAGATCGTTTTGTCTGAAACAAATTCTTGATTCCCAGTTCTCCAACTGTCTCAGAAGTTTTTCATTTGTTTTGCTGTGGTCTTTTCCATTAATTTACTGATATTGGAAATCAGCATTATGAAACAATAGCTTGCCATAGATTACTCTGATTGTAAGGAAGGATTAATGCAAGTAAATGTGTTAGAGCAAACACAATACACCTCAAGCCTTTCAGAAGAAAGAATTAATTTTCATACTTAAGAGTTTTGTAAGTTTAGTGAATGGGGCATTTCTGTAGCAGGCAAGAATGTATCACATTGGGTCCCAGAGAAGAGTATTTTTAGTGCTTTGCGATGACATGTGCGGATCTCTTTGCTAAATACTGTGAATATTATTGTTGTAGAAAAAGTAAAAATTATTTTTTTTATTAATATAATTATAAGAACAGATTTTCTGTATTCAATTATGAGCAAGAATTGACTTAGAGAATGATTGTATCATTTATTAATTGGCCTTTGTACTATATTTTATCCAGTATCTTATACCTAATTGTCTTAAAAAACAGGAATCGATAAAAGCCAACACATAACAGTGATTGTCTTTAAGCTGCAAATTGTTTATACTATGTTACTGACTTTGATAACTTAGTTCAATTTTTGGTTCTGTGCAGGATGAAATCGGCCTCAAGGAGTGGTCACTGTCATTGCGCTCAGCGCATAAGTGCTCTCTGGAGTTATTAAGCAGTATGGCGAAGAAAGCAGGCAAAATCTACGGTACGGAACGTGATGCCAACAATCGTACTCCAGTGATTTCTGCACGCAACACCAATGGCAACTAGGGTGCAGGCGACTGTTATCGTCGCTAGGTGTCTGTGTTCCTCCAGTGTATGGGTTATTTTTAAGATAATTCTGTGCTAGTGGTGTGCAAGAAACGGTGTGTGTGGTGTGTGGGTGCGCTTGCGTGTGTGCAAGAGCCAGGGTTTGAGGCACAGAGTCTGCAGTGTGCAATGTTCTGTGCCCTCTGCCTCACTTCCGCTCGTTTCATTCGCGCGAGGTCTGTGTTGTTGCCGGCCTTCGCCCCCCAGTCTTGCCTTGCCTACGTTTGTCTCCATGATTGGGACAAATGCCAGAACGAAGGGTTTTGCAGCTGCTGGTTCTTCCTGGCTTAGTGCTCCTAGGGCTAGCCGTGACCACCGAGAGAGTATGCGCTGCAAGGAAGATTATATTACCTGGCAGATATGCTAACCCACTACTTTCCATGTTAATGAAAACTTTCCATCTGCTCAGCACTTGCACAAATAAGTTGGTGCTGAATATTTGTTATTTATAATGGTTTGTGAGCAGGTGAAATGTTTTAGTCTTGTGCAAAACATTATAGGGTGATACGAAAGAAAAACTTTTACATTTTAGGATTACCCATGCAATTGTGCTGCAGAACATTCTAGTTCTTCAGGAGTATTTTGAATTCCTATGTCATCCTTCATAGCATGCCATTACATGTCGAGTATTTTGACAGCAATATGCATTCCTATGTGCTAAACCGCTCTCATTCTACCTCTTACTTCGTACTGTTGTGCGCCAAGTGACTTGCCGAGGCTGGTGATGTGCAGTGTGAGATGGGAGCCTAGGAGATGTGCACCTGAGTGCAGGGACTCTCTCTCTGTGGTCTCGGTTCTGCCTTCTGGGGACTCCCACTACAATCCTTCCCAATGGAATGGAGCGTAGTTCCCGATAGTGGAGGTATTTTCTCCCATCATATCTTGCACGCATGAGCCAGGCCCCTGGCCTTGAAGATCCGTACAAGAGTTGCCTAATTTGTGATATGGCTGGGGCACGGTCCTTGCCGGGCCCTTTGCCCTCTCTCGTTTTCCGGGCGACTGCCCTGCTGTATTATGTTGTAGATATGAAAAGTATTAAGCACAACTGTTGGTTATTGAAAGTAATTTATGTTATTATGTATATTATGTTTATATCAGTCAGTCTTTGGAGTTTCTACTGTGCTTCTGTGTTTTTTAACCAGAGACTTGTCGCATATACTAATATAAACTTATGTGGCCAATTGAAGTTGACATGAGTGAGAGGGCGCATGCCCTGTAGTAAGACATTGATCAGCTTGGCATAGGGCCAAATAGCACTGCACGGCACGGTATTTTGTTGGCTGATTTGAAATTTGGTACATTGCTCTGTGAGTGTGTTGCAATTGCTCAGTAGAAGAGAAAACTGGATAAGGTATTATCCTTATTCAATAGATTTCTGGATGTTGGCTTGATTTCAACTGCAGCTTCCAATTCAAGTATATTTATTTATGAGTGCTCAATAAGATACATGGTGAAATTTCCCTCCTTTCCTTCTCTTAAATTCAAAAACTTGTTTTCAGAAAACAATAATTTCTTTGAACATTTTCTTTAAGAATAGTTCAGAATAGTTATATTTATGTAACTAGATCAGAAAGTGAATCTTTGGCATTCAAATGAAATTTTGATGGATGAGATAGCAATAAGAGCCAAGTTGACAAAGAGAATAACAAAGATACTTGCATGTAAGCTGTGTATAATATTTTTTTTTAGTAGGAATTCATGGAAACTTACAAGTTTATACACTTGAGATTATTCTCAATACGCAGGGCGGTAGTCATGTTGATTCATGTCACCCTGGTGTTTTATTTACTTTGCGATATCTTGTTTTGTATGTTCACAACTTCTTTATGGTACATATATTGAAAAGCCTATTTTGCTGTACCACTAAGTCTAGAGTGCAAGTAACAGCTTCAAAACAGAAAAAAAAAAGGGAAAGGTAAGTACCCGTTTCCATGCATTCATGCTGAAAAAAATTTGAAGAACTGAATCAGAGGACATGAACAAACATCAGGCTTGGTAACAAATTACAATGAAACCTGCTCAAGTAGTCACCTTGATTACGCAGTCATTTCTGTTAACAGCCACTTTTTCATGGAACCAATTGAATTTTCCATAAGAGATGTGTAAATATTTCCTCTTGGCGACCAACAGCCTTGCTCATTTTGTAGGTTGACTTTGATTAAGCATTGACTTCAAGCAATTTTGAAATGTATTATAATAAGAAGCATAAATATAGTGGAGATTACTGTTGAAAAAGATTTATCTTCTTACCCCCCTTCGAGAGATGCTGATCTTTCAGGAGAATTAATTTCTGTTTCAGGTTACAACACTTGATTTTAATAACTCTCACTAAAACAAAACATGTTTGTTTTGCCCATTTCTCAGCTTTCCTGTGTTTTGCTTACTTGTGTTTTCCTTCTATGGTAATTTGTTAAGGACTCTGGGAACATGCCAAAATTGTGATAGTGATTTGAAGGTTAGTTCAATTTGATTCGCGGAAGGTGGATAGTGAGTTCCTTGACTAAGAGAATGAATGACAAGTCAGGGTTGTGTTTTGATATTATTGTGGAGGTAAATGATCCTGAATAATGTGCTTAAATTGTATATTGACATTTGTAGCAATTAAAAATGTTAAAGAGATCGTACTTCATTTCATAACAATTAGCACAATTAAATTTGTTTTACGCTTCTGGTAACCTTATGACCCAGAAGCCATGTCTATAAACAGACAATTTTTGCTACAACCATTGGTGACCACTTAAGACAGGTTTCACTGAATAAGAATTGAACAAAAAAATCATCTGTAAAGAGTAAATGATTATGGAAAATTTGAGATATGATGTAAACATAATCAAAAAAGGTAATTAAGTACTTCAATTACAGAGAATTATAATTACTTCCCAGCATTTGTAGTCTTCATAGCCTGTAATGCAATGAGAAGTGTCCTCTATGGTTGAGTAGAATAACCCATAGGTTGTAAATGAAGGCTGCTGAATTGAATCCTGGTTATCTGGTGTCTCCCAGAGATATTGTGTTCTATTCAGAAGTATCAACTTATTGACCAACTTGTGTTCTTGTCATGGCTAAAGCAAATGTACAGATACTGCCAAGAACAAATTTCCTGGTCAGTCAAGATATCTTTCACTTATATCCTGATTAGTTTTACTTGAATAGCAAGATCTTCCTGAGACTAGTGAGCAAGATGCTTTCTGCATCTCCTGTAAGTGCCATTGAGGTATACGTTGGTGAATCCCATTGGTCCCTTCATTGTTGTTTGTGAGATAGCTTAATTTTAATACATAGTTTTCCAATCAAATTCTTTAATGTTCCTTTCCTAATATTTCCACTTTGCTTTTGCATGATTAGTAAATTATTTGACAAATGGAATGATGGTAATTTTCTGACATTATAAAATATATATGCTGATGTATTTTAGACGTAATATTTTTAATGAAAAATTATATGTAAATATAGAACAAAAGGTTAACAAGAAAAATGAACAAGTTTACAGAAAAGACACATCTCAGCATATTACAGTACAATTATTTATAACTTGAAATTTTGTTATTATTTATTTTTCTTCTAATTGAAAGTTTTGCTCTCTATATTTTCTTTTCTATGACATTAGGCATCTTCAAGTTAATTGGCACTGTCTTCATGAAAATATATTGTGCCAAATTAAAGATAATTTTGAACAAAAACAGATGGACACTTTAGAGGAAAATGATAATTGTAACAATTAGTTTAGCATATTCTTCAAATTCTCTAAAGATTAGAAATATGAATATTTATTCTTAGATAGGGTAAACAGTATTGCTTTTGGAGTATTCTATCAAGAAACATGTTCATTATTAATACAAGTTTTAATATTAATATTTTTGGTAGAAATAATTATGTTGTAATATTGTTAAAGGATAATTTAACTATATTAAGAATTAAATTGATTATTATCATAAATGTAATGTGCTGGAAATACAGTGGTATAAAATTGAATTTGATGAAGGGTGAAAGGAGAGAAGGGAAACTCAGCCATAGACTGACAGTTGTTTTAAAAGTTAGTGATAAACAGTGCTTTATTATTACCATTTAGAATTGAATTTTGACTTTATGAGAAAACATATTTTAAAAAATTTGATCCATTTTCAAGTATTTAATCATTTTCTGTTGGAAGGAATTATTCTTCTCTGATAACTGCATTGCAATTATGCTTCACATACCCAATCATTTATTTTGAATGTCTGCAGTTTGTATTTGCATCAGAAAACTTATTTTGTTTGTTGTCTGTCCATATCCCTGTTCTTCAGAAATTTTAGAAGTATCTGTCATTATTGAAATGTTTAGAATAGAAAAGACTGAAATGATCATGTACATGATAAGCAAGAATTCTTTATTTTCATTAACTTTTGTTTGCTCTAAAGTTCCACTTTTTCAGCCAAAAGTTCACAATTAATTCTCTTTTCATAACTGTAGCAACTTTTTGATTTCTTAAAATTTCAATATAGATACTAATTGGTTGGGCTGTGTAGAAGATAAGGTTTGTGTTTGGTCCCAAATATGATACATGGAAAGATAGTGTGCAAATACTTGTAAAGTTTGGCTGCAAAATGAATTTTCATTTGCAAATCAGTATTATAAAGGATAGGAAATGTCATTACTCCTTCTTCCCCCCCCCGAAATGAAGTTTTTTGTATCTAGACCTCAGCAAAGTTGATTCAGTGCTGTTTAGAAAGGAGTAAATTTCACATTCCTATTTCACAATTTTTGATGAAACATTCCAATGCATTTTTGATTAATTCTTCAGTATTATGCAAACGTTCACAGGATTTTGATGAATCATTGGGTGGAATTTTTTCTTCTTCTTCTTATCACAGAAAGTATTTTCCTGAATACACATTTTGTTTCCAAGCTATTTTTTCAGGGGGTTCTGAACTGAAATTTACCTCCATCCTCATCCTGGTGCATAACTAAAGACAAATTATATCATTGCATATTAAATATTTTAAGTAAGTTTTCAGATACATTAGACAAATTTCTTCATATCCTGACCAACAAAGCCCTTATTGTCATTTCTCTTACATCTTGTGATTAATTTTTCTGCCAGACACCAATGCTATTTTACAACCGGAACTACCTTCATGAAATTCTGCCTTCCTGGACCTCAAAACATGGAAATTTGAAGAAATGGAGAGAGAGAGAGACAGACAGACAGACAGACAGACAGAAAAAGAGTACTTGTTTAACTTGACAAAAATTATTTGTTAATTGAAAAATGTTCCTTCTTTTATAGTCAAAGCTCAGGTGCTAGATTATTTAACATAAAAACTATGTAAAATGGTTGGTTAGTTTTTAGTTCTTGACAATCTGTTAAATATTAGTAAATTGGTTGATGGAGTTCTCAAAGGAATCATTATTTTATACTTATTGATTTTAAGTGAAAATCATTTAAATTTAATTTATTTTAAAGCTAGGGTTATTTTCTGTTAAATGTGCATTAAAATCACTTCATGACAATTTGCATTTCAATTATAATAAAAGCAAAAACGACAATTGAAAATTACCCCAGAACTCGTGTTCCAAGGGACGATAAGCCCTAATGAACATGTTCAGGGCCGTGACTTCTCTATTTGAGTGGGGCGTTAGATCCACGGCTGAGGGTGCGTGCGCATCGTTCCTAGAGCATCTTCGCGGAGATCTTTCCAGAATCCACTCAGAACACTCATAGTGTATCGTTCTTTGCACCTGGACAGTTTCCGGCGCCTGCAAGCGCCAATAGCCAGAGGCGTCGGAAAAGCTGGACATTTCCCACGTTTGACATTGTGCCATCTGTGCTAATATGTGAAAATTGGAATTCGTTTGTCGAATTTCGTTTACTTCAGGATGTCTACCCCAATTTGAAAAAAAAGGACGTAGTATTTTAAATGAATTTTGTTTCTATGGGGGAAGCGAAGTATAATTGTTGCTTTTGCTCGTACTCATGTTCGTTCCGACGCCCCTGCCTTCAGCTCCGCTGGGGTATCGCTGCGCCGCCTCGAGCAGAGCGCCAGCTCTCCTCGGCTTGCAATGTTTCTTGCCGTGCCGTGCCGTGCTGTGCTGTACCATGCCGCGCTGCGCAGCCAGGGCATGCGAGCGCGTGCGTGTTGGGGTGTGTAGTTGATGTTAGCCGTGTTGTGAAGCGTAGGCAGCGGTCAGGGCTGCTGGAGGACGGAAGGGAAGGAGGGCGGAGCGCCCTCCCGGCATCCTCGCTATCCTCACGAGGACGCAAGGATCCCGGGCGCGGCGGGCGCTCTCGCGTAGGCGTAGTAGCGTAGCAATCCATGACCACGAGCGCCCGCCCCACGGCCCATCACCCGCAAACCCGCCCCGCCCGCGCCTGTCCTATATCTGTACTGCATGTCTCAGACTCAGTATTCTTGCGTAGTGTACATAGCGCGCTTTGTTTTTAGTCTGGTTATTTTTATTTATTGTTAAAATATAATGCAGCGAACACAATTCTTCTTTTCCTACTAGTTCTGTCTGTCGTTCTTCTTCTTGGTTCTCGTCCCCCGCGCGCTGCGGGCGCAGCCTGGCCGTCTGATGAATCTGTCTGTTCTAGACTCCAATAATTGCGTATTTGTTGATCTTGTCTTATGCTGAGAACAGTAGTACGAGGTTACGGGACGTGACAAGTGCAATGTTGGTTGCCCTGTTACTGTTGTACATAAGAACTGGAGCGAGTGAAATGCACTTGACATTTTTTAGATTGAGCTTTGTTCAGTGATTGAAAAACCCTCACCTATTCCAGCCTGTTGTCCTTTCTTACGTTTCTACAGATCGTCTAACAAGCACCAGAGCCGTCTTCAACAATGTGCCTGTAAATTGAAGGATTCGATTTTTGTATATGCAAATAGAATAAATTCAGAGAATGTTTCGTAATTCTCAATATAATTGAAAAAATCTTTTGTCCGAAAACTTTTTATTGGCTGTTTAATTTTAGCTGGTAAAACAGGTGTATGGAGCTCTTTCGTATTTTATTATTTATTTTGTGGGCTGTGACGCCTTTCAGTAGGAAAATGCAACTAAAACATCATAAAATGTAAATTACCTAAACGTTTTAAAAAGTACAAAAACAAAATTGCTAAAAAAAGCCAATTTCCAGTTGACATTGGGCCCGCAAGACGGCTCTGGGAGCACGAAGCAACACAGACCAACAGAGAATACAGTTTTAATTTGTTCACAAATAAGTGTTGATCGACTGAATATTCTTTATAATATGGTCTCTTGAACGCTATATGTGCCAAATGAAGTGCAAGCTTTTGAAATATTTTCTAAAGCTGAAACATGTTACTTTACAAACTTTTTTAACGATTTCGTTTGCGAGCCATAATGCGCATTTCGCTTGTGGTAGGGCATCAATTTTTATTGTCCATGAATTTTTATTCACATTGCCAGCCATTGTAAATATACAGCATTTCTGTGATCAAAGGAACACGCGCAGACACGATATGTAGTCCCGGCTTTCGTGTATTACACATTTACTAATCTGCATAGTTATATGACTGAGCCACACATTACATGCCAACATTCTTTTGCTCACGGTTAAGCTGTATATTCTTAAATCAAAATCAATGAATTTTCAAGCAATTGACATTGTGCAATATTTATTAAAAACATAGAACCAACTTATCGATACGTTTTTGTGACTCATTCTCCGAAGACATTGCAATCCAATGAGCGAATGATGGTTTCAAAATAACACTGAATTGAAACTACCCGAAATCTGCCGAATTATTAAGTGCGATAATCTTGCTAGACTTCACTAGCGTCAAAGAGATTTTTTGGTAATGTGGGAGAAACTTCAAGATTCATAACGGTGAGGGGAAAAATAAGTTTGTTATTTTCTCCTTTGGCAGTGTGAATTTCTATGGTAAAATTGTTTCCTTCAGAACGATATGAAAGTTTCATATATTCACATAAAATGCATGAACTAGAAAGTGTCCACCTTAACCCATATGAGCGTAGTGTATGTAGTTTGTAGTACATCTCTCTACACTAGTAAGCCATTACATTATGACCACCTACATAATACTGTATAGGACTTTCTTTATCCCCTATAATAGAGGTCGCTCGGCGTACCAGTGATTCAGCGAGGTAGGAAAGGTATCATGGGGTATTCGATTCCACAAGCTTTCCAGCAAGCCCTCTCTACTCTGCATACATTGTGGGGTGGTGATTTCGAGCCAGCTTCCCCAGTCAATCAACCCGTGAGTGTTTAATAGGGTCCGTATTCGTTCTCTTTGGAGCCAGAGCATTAATGTATATTTTTGTTCTTTGAACCAGACCTTCACTATCTTAAATATGTGGTTTTGCGAATTGCCCTAAAGGAAGTGGCCATTGCCAGCATGGAACACTTGGACATATAAAGTTGGACAATAATGTCCATGAACCGGATAGCTGACAGGAACGGATGTACCGGAATATGGTCCCTAGTGTTAGGCATGAAAAATTCATCCAGACTATCACACTACCTGAGACCTCTTTGCCTTAGAATACGTTCGGGTACCATAGTCTCCGATGATAAGCGGCTCGGCTGTCGATGAGCCATGAAACAGAATTCACCGAATCAGGCGATAAGGGTGGTTTGCAGACAGCGTGGGAGTTCGACTCCTCTGCTCCATCCTCCGTGAACAGAGTGCTGTGAAGCATTATCCTTGGTACCATTATTGTAACTACGATTTCCCGTGTCTTGCGGTCGTTCCGGAAACTGCGCAACAGCATTCGCTGCTTTCTGGCGTCAATGCTTCGTGGGCGAGACAGGGATGGACTATGTTTTATTGTTCCTTCGTCGTTGCATCGTATTTGCAAGTGCTCAGCAACAACAGTGGCATCGCTCAAAAGGACGTGTTCCATATATGCTGGTACCAAGGCGCCGTGCCATCGCTATCTGACGTACGTCAAACAGATGGATCGGCCGCTTTTACCATTTTACTGCTGACGAGATCGGTTGAGTTAGCTCAGGGCAGGCGAAGCAGTTCTCAAACGGGCCGCACACGAGTTTTCTTTCCTCAAGCACCTGTTCTGACCCCACCTTTCGCCTTACACACTCGTATTATTCGTGTCGAAAGACCAGTCGGGCGTCTAGAGAATTTCCTGGTTGGGACAAAACCCGTTGGAGGAGAACTCGCAAGCTGACGTGTAGGTCAGCGCGCCAGATTTTACGTTCCAGCGGAGGAGGAACACCGCCACCATCCAGGATATAACGTGCATAACACGTATGGAATTGATAATAGCAGTTGACGCGCCCGGAAACGCCAGTAGTGAGCCCGTGTATCTGCACTTTATATTTCAATTTCCAGCGCGTCGCGTGTGATCCTGTGCGTTCCATGCGCGATATCCGTTTTCGTGTCTAGGTGGTCATAATGTAAAAGTTAATCGGTTTAGTTTGTGGAGTATAAAGCAATATTATTTCAGTTTATATGTTAACGCGCTTCTCATGTACAACACATGTTACAGTAAATATGTCACGCCATCTGTGGTAATGAAGGTAAGAGCTATGGATTTTGTCATAAAACCCTGACGTCTCATTTGGCACTAAATGCTGCATACCCAAAGATGTGGGTAACCACTTCTAGAAAGTAGTCTGAATTTACGTAAACAAATAATTTATTTTGATAATGATTCTTTAAATTTAGCAGTTTAACAAATGTATTTTTAATTTTGTTTCTTTCATAAGTTATGTGTAATGAAGTAAACTACTGTCATTTGAACATTGGAAAATCCCCAATACCCATTGAGCTATAAACTTGCGAGTAAGATTTGTGATATGCATTTCTCTTGTATGCTTCTGGGCTCTTTGGCACGAGTTAAAATCTTTACAATCTACTTACGTTCAGTTGAGTTGATAAAAGTGTTCTTACCTGTGGGCTGGAATTCTGTCGTTAATTCTACAGAAGAGTAGAACATATTTACATGGAATTTTTATTTTTGCGTCTAATTTAGATGCGTGTTCGCCCAATCTTGCACTTGTATGAAATAAGTTTTATTGAAAATGACAATGAAAGTATTGAAGGTCTTAGATAATTACGCCAAAAAAATTAGCGTAATTTAGTGTTGTTCTCCCTATGACTAGAAAGCCCTATTGAGAAAAATAAAAGAAAAGCATAAATAAATTACATTTTGCTGAGTGTCAAACCTCGTTCTTAGATGCGCTTTACAAAGAATACGATACTTGTTTTTTCACTCATTAACTTGTCACGTGGATTCTGGATTTTTTGTTTTGTAAAATGACTGAATCATTTAATCCCAGAGTCCCTCGGATTTGGGTGACTCAGAACCTCCAGAATTTTGAACTGGGACAATTATTGGAGTTAAAGTCAATGTCTCGGCTTTTTACTATAGGCTGTTTTTAATTGTTGTAAAGTGAAAACACGGATACTTCAGAATGAAATAATATGCATAAAGTCGGGTTAGACACGAATTTTTACTTAAAATTTAGTAATTCATGGTACCACTTGTAACCAACTTCGAAATGAGTCATACAATTCTTCGTGAACTTAAATTTGTTATGGTCAGTCAAACCTTACGAAAATCTTCTTCTGATTAAATATTTTCCTTTTATATGAATAATCTTTAGTAATATAATGGCATTTTAATGATATTCTAATAATGCGGTGCAAAGGAAACAAATAACGAAGTGGTGCAACATTAACCGTGTAAATATGTGACAGTGCTATTTCGACATGCTTGTGGGTCATCCGATACAAAGCACTTTCTAAATCTTTAATTCCTGACAGGGAATTCTGAAGAAATACACTTTTAAAGATGGCATAGGCACGATTTCCACTGTTTACTTTGAATTTTCAAAAATTGCACAAGTTTGGAAGTTTTAGCTCAACTTGGCGCTTTTTCAGAATACCTGCAACATTTTCTTAAAAACAGCTCCAAATTTTGTCAACAGAAACTTGTGTACACTCTTGTATAATATACTTTACAAATGCGATTTTTCCTCAAATTATATTTGTTCTCCACAATTAATTCTTTATAACCAGGCGCGAATTCACGGGGAGGGAAATTCCTTCCCCTAAAATTTTTCAGTAACTATTAATTTTAACTTGTCATGAAACTTTCAAACAAAAATATTTTAGAATAATCATTAAAAATAAAACCGAATTGCAGTATGAGCTAGTGCAGCCTACGACATTTTACAATGTATGAAATAATACACCGACCAAAACGTTTTGAATTTCCCCGTCCCCAAATTCGTATCTCGATCCGCCTCTGTTATAACTGAAACATTTTCTCAAAAACGACTCCGCATTTTTCAGTAAAAATTTGCTTGTTTCTGATTTCACTTTTCTATAATATACTTAAAATCAGGTTTCCGTTCTGCTATTAGGAGACCGAAAAAAAATTGAGAAATTGTGGGGAAAAAAGGTTTCTTTAAAACACTTTTTCTCAACGTAAATAATCCTTGAAAGTGAACAAAAGCTACTTTGTTAACTGACACGTGTTGTAAATATCATGCTTACTACATTATCTGTAGGGTTTATTCATTAACGTATCATCATCAAGTAACTTCGTTTGGATTATGGAAGCGAATGCCAAGTCATTCAAATTCAGAGATTCGATGCCTCAAGGCATATTGAAGTCCGCTTATGTGTAAAAAGTTGTTTTAGTATTATTTTTATCAGGTTTAACTCATCTCGGACTTACGAAACAGAAGTTTGGAGCAAATGAGCCCAAGTTCGTGGACACCAATGCTGTGGTTTCGAAACCCGCTTAAGATATGAATGAATTTGTGTCTGTGTCGTGGGGGACATTACAAGTTTCTCTGTAGTACACCTATACCCTAATCCTTCCAAAAATCTATGGGTAAGACAGACATCGTATGTTTAATTGAGGGATAGGATATGTACTCCAGAAATTGGCATTGCTTCTTATAATCTAGTGGCAGATTTTATAACTAATAGCCCACTACATCCGCATTTCTACAATCCAACGGCGAAGAAAAGTGTAATACAAACACTGCGGTGGGACCAAGAAATACTATAGGCAAATATGTATATGTACAACGCCGAGAGAGACCTATGCGATTTTCGGGAAGCGCAAAGATGCTGTTTTTATGCGACAGTCACCAGAGGAACGGTAGGTACCATGAGAAGCCCCGGTACGACTTTTATGCGCCGATAAGTGGCAGCTGGGGAGTGGATGGGCAAACCGGGAAAAGCTGGCCCAAACTAAAAATAGGAAACTAAAGAGTTCGAGAAAGTCAATGCTACTAGTTTAATGCTATTATATTAACTTTTAGTAAGTTTGGTGAGAAAAGAAATATTTTGTTTCCTTCTTGCAACGTGTCTTTAACTCCCCCCCCCCCCGAAAACACAAAGGCTTCATGGAAACTAGCAGTTTTCCATATTATTCAGAGCATTATTTTTTTTTTTCGTAGAAAATGTTAAAAGGAAGAGATAAGAGAAGAGTGCACGAGAACTCTCGCATATGGAAACCCACCCGCCTTTGAAATAGAGGTCGAGGTACCTCTTGCCACATCCTTGCCAGGTGCGCCCTTACAAGGTCCTAAAATATCTCATTTTGTAGATTACGACATGAACGAAACTCTTGGACAAAGTTTTATGGTCCTAGTATTCACAATTTTTGGCGATCGGTGTGAAGAAAAAATACATTAAGCGGACCATGTTATACGAATTGCAGGGTTGTTATTGGTTTTAGCGGGTATACTGTAAATAGCACCCCTGTCTGTGGCGCCCATGGTTGATGCCATGCCGTAGATACGCCTCTGGGGTTCGAGTCCCCACGGCGAAGGATTTTCCCCAAACGAACGCGAAAGGTTTCGTAATTCAAAATGTTTCTATTCTTAAATAAAATGAAATATTGCATTGTAAATTGTTGATATACTCTAAATAGTTTTAAATATTTGTTTTAGAGATTCTTTTAATTCGTTTTGTATTGACTGCATAAAAACCATTAATTCAACGACTGTGTTACTCAACGGAAGATATATCCTAAGATAAACCTTTCACAATATTTTAAATACCAAAATCTACATGATCTACGTTTGTTAGAATGCCGAAAACATTAAATTCTTCAGATGTGTTTACAAATTGTTGCCTTTAGAAATAATAAGCGTAATTTATCAGTGTCAATGAGGCGATCTCTGTGGCAGCCGGTGTGGCCGTAAATTATGAAATAGAGGAGGTTTTAGGGAGAGTTCTTAATTCCTGCGAAATTCACATTTTTACTTCAAACTTTATAATGAAATTAGTAAATATAAAATAAATATATTTAGGTAATAAATAACAAATGGTGTTTTTATTTCAACGTTTAATACTTATGTATTTCCTAATATGAAAATATATTGATTTCATTCATTTTTGTCTAAGAACAGTAAAAACTGCTTATCACATAATTGTAATGGCGTACTATTAAATGTAATGTTAATGTAATGATTTTTGGTCGTCGCACGCCAGTGGTTATAACAGGATATCACATTTCGTGTCTAGATGTGAAGATATTCCATATACGAGGCACGATGAATGTCCTTCTGGTGTAAATATTCATTTCCTTGTAAATGTTGATATGTTGAGCTGAAAGGATAAGAAATAATAATAATAATAATAATAATAATAATAATAATATAATGAATTATAGTAAATAATGTACCTGTTTATTGTATTTCGAGGCAGGCGCTCTACATGGTGCTGTAGGTCCAGCGAAATACCATTTGCTTTCGCTTTGTTTGGCATATCTTACGAGTAAGGAATCACTGTTCCTACGCGTCGCGCACGGTCCGTAGCAGTGCAATGAGCGGCGGGAGCGGGGGCGCAGAGGCGCAGGGGCCGAGCGCGGGCCTGGGCCTGGGCGCGGTGCCGAGGGCGATGAGCCGTCTCTCAAGCGCTGCCAGGTCCACCTGCTCCACCTCTGGGGGCGGGTCCTTGGCGCGCGTGGCGTAGGTGGCAGCCGCCAGGCGCTCGGCCAGCGCCGCCGCACCACACCACGCTCGGAAGCTCATCCCCGTTGTTGCCTCTGCGTCCGACGTCCTCTCGGCCTCGGTTCCGGTCCCGCCGACGCTCCAGCCGCCAAGCGCCGAGGCCGCCGCTGGCGCCGACGCACCCAGGACTTCGCATAACGCCGTCTCCACGCGCTGTGCGCCGCCAAAGTCACATGTCAAATTAATTATTCATTATCACAATGGCTTTCTGAAGATTCCAAGTTATGATCCTCTTTAGTAGTCAGTAGATTGCGGTGATGAATTGAGAAAAGCAAAAATATGATCTTTCGATTTTAAAAAATGAAACTTAATATACAAATTCCATTATTACTATGCATTATAACAATACTGTAATTTCGGTTCATAATATAAAACTAATGTTTTTAAAAAAAAATTCTTAAAATTTCTAATGTCACATCCCGATTTAACAGCAGTTTACAAAACACCCAAATTGAAATAATAATAATAATAATAATAATAATAATAATAATAATAATAATAATAATAATCATAATAATAAAATTTTAATCGTTCTCTCCTAATAAACGAAAATACCTAATAATCTCATACATTCACGTCATGCATGACTTATTCTTAAACCTTTGAGAATGACCAGCTTTCAAACATGTACCGCATATAGATAAGACAATAGATGAAGCACAAAAACAGACTCCCAAAATACGGAGTCGTCTTACAGAACAGTACAGAAAAATTAAAAGTTATTACATTTATTATACTTACAAGTACAAATTGTTTCAAGACTCGACACAACCTACAACAAAACTTGATAGTGGCAGTATATATGTTCGTGATTCGACGCGTGCTTCTATAGGCAAAAACGTAATTCTGAAAGATGCTTTTCCTGTATCGTAACAGTATCATACTACCCGAATTCTCTAACCAGTGTGAATGTTTGCCAGAAGCATGTCGGATGTGCTGCAAGTTGCAAGAAATTATGATCGCTGATACAAATTAAATTCATAGGACGTTGATAGTTCGGGGGTCGTCTTGTAGGACAGATATATGCAAAAACTATAATACCTTGACGAAAATGTAGAAGTCTTCTCTGAAAGTCGTCTTATATGGATTCGGTAATATGTTTTTATTACATAACTTCTTATATTTATTCCTTATTATTTCGTTTCAGCGAGACCATCACATCCGAGCTCCTTCTACCTTCCAAAACACACGGTATTCCAAAATTACTCGTTCAACTAATTTAATTCTATTTCTACCGTTAAAAAGCTTATTCGTCCATTTTACTATTACCTTTTGTAAATATGTATACGATACTCGTTACTCAAAAAACACTACCCATGTAGACACACGGATAAGGGAGGAGTACTTACCTCCAGCGGCAAGAGGTCGTCGACCGCATGGCGCTGGAAAACCAGGCGACAAAGCCGCTTGCGGCCCGCGTCCAGCGCGACGTGCTCCGCCAGATACTGCATCGGCGTCAGTACTGCACACGAGCCACCGCCACTCAAAACTCGCACAGCATCAAGCACTGCGCCACGCCTCACATCGCAAGCGAACCATCTCAAACGAGATTGTTTTGTGATGTTCACTCGCTATGGAGCCATAACAGTGCGTTAGACCAGGTATGATCGCGAACACTGTATCCAGAGCAATTGACGCGAAATTTAAGAGTGAGAGAAACAAAAAGCTCTGGAGTGGCGATATGTTAGTGAACACCTGACCCATGACTTCTGGAGAAGTCAGTTGACAATTATTTCCCCCAATGTAGCTCTGTTCATTTCCATTTCCTCTACTAAATGATAATAATAAATGCAAATTAATGATACAAAACATCGGTCAGATTTCAAATTGTCAAATGAAAGTAAAATTATACACTTCGAATCGAACTTGGTTTCCTAATCTGTTTCCTGAAGAGTGCAATAATAGCATAGCATCCTATGTTTAGATTAGGAAATTAAATAGTCAAAGAGTTTTGAATTTTGAGGGGAAATGAGGGATGAAGCAGGGAAGTTGCCCGTTTTCTCAGGGTGGCAAGTACCTCACGCGGGCGCGTTTTAACATACCTGGTTAGACCATTTGGTAAAACAGTAATAAAGAGATTCTTTAAGATTACTCTTGATCTTTCACTTGACAAACTCTCCCTTCCCCGTAATCGCTATACACCCCACCCTGCACAGAAGTCCTAAGTGACGCACCACCCTAGAAACATGCAGATATAAGTCGGCTACAGAAGAAGGTACAAGTACGTCATACTCCAAACGGCGCCGCGCGCATGCACTCACCGAGCAGTTGTCGCGAGTCGAGAGGCAGCTGGAAGCGCGCGCTGCGGCGCGAGGCGACGCGCGGCGCCGCCAGGCCAGCAGTCGGGGCCGAAGGCGCGCCGCGCTCGGGCCTGCCGGCGCCCGGACCGCTGCGCTTTGACCGCCCTGCAGCGCTGGCGGTCACGCGTCGCAGCTCGGGGGTGGCCCGCGCCGCTTCAGGCCGGCGGCGGCGGCCCGCGCACGCGCAGAGCGTCCTCCAGCGCCGCCGCCGCTGTGCACGCGCCGCGAAGGTTGTTGGAATCGGAATGGAACAATGATGAGGCATGAAGATGAGCTGAATTGGAATCGTAAAGAAATGCTAAGGGAAATCACTATACTTAGAAAATTCGGGGGGGGGGGGGACATCAAATTCGCGGAAATTCCTGGGAATACTATTGTAGCTAAATAAGGATCAAGTATTTTTATTAATTGTATTAGTTAGATACGAAGATCCTCGGGGACTCATGGCCAGCGTGCTAGATTTCTGTGAAGCGGTCCCAGTTTCCATTGCCAGCCTGGGCAGAAATGAAAATGTTTTCAGTCTCTGCAACTGTCTCTGCAACAATTAGGTAGAGGATGTATGATTCTCAGGGGAAGACAGAAGGCAGTGTTTGGGCATTGATCATTCGATCAACTTAGGATTTAGGGCAGAACAACATTCAGCATTGTAAAGATAAAAGTACATTTCTTTCTTGATGTCTACAATATGTATTCAAATATATTTCGGGCGAAACCGAATTCTCGATTCTAATTGTGCTGAGCGGAGAGAGTGTTTAATAAACAAAGTTGAATTCGGGAAAATAAAAAGACCGAAATGTCTAACTTCTGGCGTCGATCGCAAGCAACATATAGTGGATGACTAGATAAAGAAATTTGTGACTAAGTAAAATACTATTAAAGATTTATTTTGTTCAGAAAGAACCGAATCCTACCGGGAATTGAACCTAGGACCACAGCTCACGAAGCTAGTTGGCCGGGAAGCCATGAGCCACCCATAGTCTGAATTAGTCAAAATACCTACATGAATAACCTGTATCTGCCAACTGGTGTTGCACTCCCGGAGCCCATGATTATAGTTATCTTTTCCAGTCACGAAGACAAGTACCTAGATTTCACAGGTCAACAATGAAAAATCATTAGAAATAAAAGTATGTGTAATGCGTAAATGTAGAACCGTAATCTGCGTTTAAAACTAGTTTAGAAAAATATAATTTTATTTCTGATGATTACAAGTTTAATTTCGTATATCTGTGTTTTTAGCAAAAGAAATATACATTTGCCAGAAAATGAACATATTATGGTCCACGCTTCAATTGTTGCGGAAGTGAACGGATAGCGAGATGACCTGATTCAGTTCATTGACTAATGAATATTTCCGAGCATGTCAACTGATAAGGCCATTAAGTCCGTTAGTGTAATTAATGTTTTATTACGGGAGTTGACTCTGTTACATCCTACAAAATGATGAGATCCGGGGCCGACCTACACGTCGCACGCAGGAGAATCCCCCCTCCATAAGCTGGGACAATCGTTATGCTCCAGACATGCCTGGTAGTGGAGTGCGTGTGTGTAAGGGGAGAGCTTAGGACAAGGAAGAGGAAGAAAATATTACTCGCGGTTCATAACACGTTTGTTAGGGTACTGCTCCGGCTATCGTCTGGTATTTATCGAAAAACTCACGGGAAACTACCGATCAGAGCAGCTGGTCTCTAGAATTCTCCTCCGCCACGCGGCTGAATTCGACCTAGCTATGTAGCAAACGAAAATCCGCCACCAGGGGACTTGAACCCAAGGACCTCCCGGCCAGACTCACAACGCTGTCTCTGAGCGAAAGTCAACCGGTTGTCTTGACACGTGCGTGTTCGCAGTGCAGAGGGCTTTTACCTTGGGGTCGAACTCGCATTCGAGTGCGCCGGGGGCCGCGAGCTCGCGTTGAAGCTGGCGCAGCACCGTCGGCTCCAGGAAGGAGGCGATGACCCCTGGAGCAGCGGCCCTCGCTGCCGCGGGCCCCGCCTCCGCGCCCGGCCCCGCACCGGCGTCTTCCGCCGCCTGCACCGCCTCCGCAGCCGCCGTCGGCGACGCCGCCTGCTCCGCGGCCGCGCCTTCCGCCGAAGCGTCCAGCGCCGACACCTTCCCGCGGTATTTGAGGTAATATAGCAGAGGTTTACCGTATAGTGTGGTACATGTGTAAGAATGATGGAGGTTCACGAATTAATTGAACTCATTTAAAAGTTGTGAGATTAAAACTACATAAAAACATAATTCATTACCCCCATTCCTACAGTAATCGGGTAATCTCAGTTTGTCCGTTCTTCTGCCCGGCAATCACCCTTCTTTTCCTCCGTTTGGGACTAGCCACTAGGTTTGCTTTGCTTCTCAATCTGCTGGTGGAGAACGTTTATAATTTTATTAATTCCTAGATCAGCACGAAAGTGCATTACTAGTGATATTACACTTAACAATCCATGAAAACAATAAACATATATTTCTTTCTGTTAGAGCACACCTAATGAGATGCCTCCTTGATGACGAGGATGAGAGGATCTGGCAATTGTTTCGTATCCTCTTAATCTAATATAAAATACTTGAATTGATAATTATAAAAATGCGTTTAAAACTGTTCATAATCCTTTAAATTTTTTTCTTGTTACTTTTATTGTAATGATAAGATTTCGTTTCGATAGGGTTTTGTTCAATGACCAGAAGTTCAAGTTCTTCTCAGGGTTGTTTTGGTGAAACCAAGAATAAATGTATTTCAACAATTTATTCAATTTTTCCTCCATAAAAAAGCAAAATATTATGAATCCCTCTACGCAATAGTATTAGAGATATAACATATATTTTTAATCCGATTCCTGATGACTTGTTTAGAAATTCGTATTAAATCACAACTGTAAAAAGCTTGGAATATAGAACAACAAATTCAAGAGACGATGATAGATGCAAGACATTTACTTCGACGATTCTTCATTTATTCTGCAAAACCAAAACCTATTCGATAAAATTAACAGTAACTTTAATATATTCCTTATTAATAAGATCATTGAAGTAAATTATACCTAATAAAATTCCGTTTCTGATTTAGAAATTTTTTCATGACATTATAAACGTACTTAGGAATAAATATCCGTATCCATAAACGAAATTTGTAGCTGGGACGCCGTGTGCTCACCTGCGTGACCTGCGGGTCGGGCAGGCCCTCGACTGCGGGCTCGCGGCCTCCGTCGCGCTCCACGCGCTTGCGCCGCCGCCGCTTGCCGCGCCGCCGCGCGCCCGCCTCGTCCGCCGACGCCGCGCTGTCGCCCTCCTGCCGCACCGCAGCAAAAGAGGCTAACATTGTAGGACAAATGGATGGGTGAAAAACAAAACAATATAAGTGACATTTTATAAATTCTGAGAAAACTGTTTATTTGATTCAATATAATTTACTGTAAAGTCGAGGTGCCATCATTAAAACAACGGCATTTCAATTGTTCATTAAAACCATGAAATTACATTGACACTGAAATATAGCCTAATGTAAACACGTTTTTTCTAAGAATTTATAAAAATGTCACTTATTTACATTACTAAAACATTAAAATGCCCTCTCTTTCTCCCTCACAAACACGAACATAGACACCCACTCATTGACGGAGGAACGCTCTTGAATTAGCGAAGAAACAAGCTTTCTTGCGGTGGATCTATTGTGATTGCGCCAAGAATTGTCAACAAATTTTGTATATTTTCACTATTTATCATTTTAAAAGAGTATCGAAAATAAATCCTCAATTTTGGCTATCACGAAGAAAACAAGGATAATTTGAATGAGAAACATTACTAGCACAGTCAAATCAGATCTGAATAATAATGCTGATGCCTGGATAAATATATGAAAACAAAAGCAAAAGTATATTAGTCTTTACTGAGAAAAGGAGTATGAATTGAGTGTCATTGGGCTAGAATACGCAATCTTCACAATGATATCACAAAGAAATCTCTATAATAGGAATTTTTTCCATAATGAGTCTCAATTATGAATGTAGAATATAGATCTTCAGGAACTGAAATACGAATATAAATGAATGCAAATCACTGAAGAGCGCCGTTAGTGCATGCCAATTCGACATCTCATGGTTGGCTGATGGTAATGATTATTTAATACTTATAAATCGTGTGCATTCCAAATCGTTAAATACATTTCTATTTCCTTGAATGTGTTTATATAATGTTTACAGACGAGAATGCATTCTGAAATTAACCATGAAAATATTTATTCCCAACAGAAAATGTTTTGTACCGGTAGAAGCAGGTATCGCTAGAATGAGAAAAAAAGAGTAAACAATGACGCTTCACGACGTTCCCAGTAAGTTGGGATGCGGCAACGGCAACGTAACATTTATGTTTCTAAACATCGATGTTAAATAATACATCGCTCTAAAACCATGGATGGTTTTAGAAATATCATTGAACGTCATCAGGGACGCGTTCATTAGACTGATAATTAAGATTTAACTGACAAAACAAAGTTTAAAAATACTAAAATTGATTAAAAAACTGAGCTTGGAAACTCAAGGTGGCCTCAGAAGGTCAGAGATACCTCAAATCGCCGTAGAATGATACGGGAAGAACGGGAGGTCATACGCATATGCAGCATAAACTGAGAGGTATCAGTTATTTCATATTTTACCTCTTACAAAATTGTGATTACGGCCTTTTTCTTTTACAATAAAATGTGAAAATAGTAATAACATCCAACACGAAACATCAATGGTGGAAAAAGATTGGTTTTAATAAATCGATTTTTAAAACGTCGATACTGATATAAATACATCAATGTTTTCAAAACATTGACATGTCACATTCCTACCATAATGAAAAGACGTAGATGAGCTATTGCACAGTCTATTATCAGGTTTCAGCCTATATTTCTTATGCAGCTGTCTGCATCATAATATTGGCGGGAATTTTAAATGCAGCCAAAAACTAAAATTATCACTTTTTATCACAAGTTGAAACAGATATATGAAGCACTTGTAAAAAAGAATGCATCTTTTATTTCAACTAATCCTTCATCGTGTTATTTTGGTTAGCCACCGTTAAAATTGATAATTTTATGCCACTTTCAAAATATTTCTCAACACTTCTCGCTACCCATGCAGCATGGCTGCAACGTCTGGCCTGGCTTTTCAAACGATGAGCCCCTGTTGTGGTCACGTAGTTCGTGATGTATCTGGTGCTTCTCAGAACGAGATACAATTGGTGCGCTGGCCGAGCTCCCCAAGACTTTTCATCATTATCCCTATCACCAAGCACGTTCTCGTGCGCGGCCTCGTGCGCAAAGCGGGTCACCTGTCCCGAGGGCGGGGGCGAGTCGGCGCGCTCGGCGTCGGAGGCGCCGGAGACCGCCGCGTCGGTGGGCGGCGCCGGGAGCGGCTGGGCCCCTGCGGCGGT